ATAACAAACAAACAAAAAAGCACACACACACACACACAAATTAAGGAGAAATGCATGTTGAACATGTCGCCCTCACATGCAGTTCCAGTTCTGAACAAATCATATTTGTCCAGTTTCAAACACTCCTTAGAGCTATTATTAAGGTATTATTAAGAGACCGGATGTTTATTATCGTTTCAGTCGCTGCTTTAATTAATGCTATTTAAATTTAGTATATCAGGACACAGCGCAAAGTGAATTCCCACTGTTCAATGACAACAGAAAAGGCTTTTGTCACGTTCTACAGCTGCTTTCAGTGATTTCGCAAATCTCCAGTGAAACTCCAACCGGTTACAATGAATTTATTGTGAAAGCCTGAGGTCAGAAGCTGTTACACACGAGTAGGTGTGTGTGTGTGTGTGTGTCAGAGCGTGGGTGGATAAATGAGGTGACGAACAGGACAGGTGACTTACAAGATATAGTCACAGAGGCGTGTCAGTGTCCTACTTCCTCCACTCCTGCAGCAGAAAAATAGAACTAAGGTCCATCTTTGTATAAACATGTTTTGATGCTTCTATTGTGTTGGATGAGGAACAGAAGCTACAGGCTTCATATACAATTAAAAAAACAGGGTTTTGTTGTTTTGTTTTGTTTTTTATCTATAGAAAAGGGATCAGATGCATATGGAGGTCTTCATGGAGGTCTTCATCAGCCTGTCTCAGTTTGGCAGGCGTCTTTCACAGACAGGTGGATGGTGAGCCGGCTGGATGGGGTGGAGGAAGCTGATAGGGAGCTGACTGATGTGTGACAGCGGAGTCGAGTGGCTGCTTTCGGCGTCAAACCGGTCCGGGAGGAGGCTGAGGAGCAACTGTATCTGTTTGTTATGAGGAAAGAAAAGTGCAGCGTGACACGCTTCTCTTCGTGACTTTGGCAGAAAAGCTGCTCTAAAGTGGCGACGTCCACAGCATCCCTCATTATCCTGCTGATTATGTTATCTGAACAGTAGCTGGGCAATAATGCAAGAGACTATGAGTGCTGCCAGTGTGTGTGTGTGTGTGTGTGTGTGTGTGTGTGTTTTAACAAACTCCAAAGAATAAATAGACTCAGCTTTTGTTTTTCTCTCTCTCTTGTTTTTGGATGTGGGACTATAGTGAGAGATGAACAGTGAAGGCTCTGTGTCTGGCTTGCCCCCAGTAACATCAACTGTACTGAGGATACAGAACCTCCTCGCTCTCCTGTCAAATTCTAACCAACTCTATCTGTATCTGTATGAAATAACAGGGTCAGCAGAGTCAGGGTGTGTTTGCATGGGGAGAGTTTGTGAAAATATGAAAAGAAAAAGGATCTATGCAGGGCTATTTAGAAATATTTAATATAAATCCAGATTATTTGGCTGAAGCTAATACTTCCATCACACTATTCTGCTGTTTGTTTCATTGAAGTCGGATGATAGGAATTGTTTGTTGCATGATGCCTCAGTAATGCATTTGCCAGTGTAGCACACACAATTTAATCACCAGGGAGATTTTTCTGGAGATATTGAAAGGCTCTGTTCAATTTTCTGATCTTCCACATTTTAATACGTTTATTCGGGAATTAGAACCACATTTCCCAACCTTACACTTGGTCTTGATTGACTTGATTGAGGTTGTTTTTTTTTATCTTTTAAGTTTGTCTTGAAGTGACAATTGGGTGATTAAAGGTTTTGCTTTTTGTCTGGCAGAAACATTGAAGGAGAGCTCCGAATGACAAAAAAAAAGAAAGAAAGATTTGGAGCAAGATAACAGCCTGCAGGAAGAAAGGAGAAGAACAAGTCAAATGGGAATGATCAACCACTCTGATGTGATTCCTACACTTCTGTACACTTTCTGCTCTGAAGGTTTCCTTTATACATGATTGCCAGCTATAATCTATTTTTACTCGTCTCATTCATGGAAAGCCCTTTCACCTCTCTTTCTGGAAAAAAAAAAAAAATATATATATATATATATATATATTTGTCAAGCTTTCACCACTTGGTCGCTCGGGAAAGAGCAATACTTATAATGAAATCATTGTCTCTGAAATGCAAATTATTTCCAGGAGCAGAATTTGTTTTTTTTCTTTTTTACCTCAGATTAAATTACTTCAGGGGTTATTGCTGTGAGAAAAAATGTTTTACAGAGAATACAGATGAAGGAAGACATCCAGCGCATCTGAACAGCTCAACTTCAGCTTCTCTGTCCCACTTCTTTGCATCTCCAGCATATCAATGAGCGAAGCTCTTATATTTATTTTTATTCAAATGTTTATCATCCGTCACTGATTGTTTTTAACCCAGTCTGCAGGACTACCGTGAAGAGTCTGACTTTGAGTTTTATTTTGGGCAGTGTTTGATTGTCTCCTTGTCTCATCTATTGTCTTACCTTCCAATCAGACCCCAAGTCTTAAAATCCAGTTTACAGTCCATTGTTTAAAATCAATCAATACTTTGTTGATTTTCTTTCCCCATTTCGTTCAAGAAAATGTTGAAAGTCTGAAAAAATTTTGAAAGACAGTCTTTCTAATAAAAACAACTTTAATGCACTATTTCAACTAAGAGTTTTAATTTGTATTTGCATTTCCTCTATTTCCAGCTGAAAACTACAAGGATAAAACTCAGAATTACAGAGACTACAATTTTAATCTAGTCCAAAAACCCAATTTTTTTCAGTCTACACTTCTAAAAACTTTGGATTATTCTTTCTTTTTTTGTGTGTGTAATTATGCAGTGATTGTGTCAGATTCTTAATTGGCAGTACATTTCCCTTGAACATTCCCTTTTTTTCATTTTATAAGTACTGACGGAAATAACTTGTGGGTTCGGCTTCTGTTACTTGACTGACTGAAGCGAATTCCTGAAGGACTCTGGTGTTCTCCATTATTGCAACTGCTTTGCATGTATAATATACTCTATTTCTGCAAAGGATTCAAAATGCAGATTGCGCTAAACGTGTGGAGATGCAAACACAGCCATCAATTCCACCAGATGGGAGCAAGTTTTAAGTCGGGTCAAAGTTGCAGCCTCTTCAGCCATAAACACACCAGCTGCTGGAGTTACTGTGGGGATTTTTAAAAATGCTTAATATGTTCATTGTTGCTTTAATTAGCAGAAATTTTATGTTATGACACGAAGAGGCATTCTCCCAAAGTTCAAAAACCACATCTGACTGGAGAAATTGTATTGAAACAAAATCAAAAATCGATGCTTTACATTGCAAGAGACAATGTATCCATTTAAATGATTCATTTCCAGACAAAAAAAAAAAGCATCGATGGAAGCGAAAACTGTGTGAGGTTGTGAAATTACTGTACTCTACATATATGCAGCAGTCACTTTTTACTGTATCAGCACAAGATGGAAAGTTGTGTGGATGATATTCTGTTAAACTCACCTTAGAAATGAACAGATACCCTTTGTTTCTGCCATGAGCTGCTGCTGCTGCTCTGTGCTTTATTGCGCAGCTCATATTTGTAAAGTTTTTTCATTTGTCTGCCTTTCTCTTCCACTGCGAAGAACTTACCACCTCCAGTAGTTTCACCAGACTTTTATCACTGGTCTTTAAAAATGTGAAACTATTTCCTTGGATGGTAATTTAAATAAATATGATCGGGCTGTGCTATTACTACAAAATGAATGCATGATTTCCAATTTAAAAGAAATCATCAGAGAGAGACAGAGAGAGAGAGAGAGAAAGAGAGAGAGAGCAGAGAGATGTTTTTTTTAAACGTATTTAGTATCCACAATTAGTTCTGTGAATTTGCTCCATTATTTAATATTTTCACAAGCGATTTCAAATTTACAACACAAGTCAGTTTCTTGTTCTCCTGAAGGTTTCTTGTTCTCCTGAAGGTTTCTTCCTGTTAAAGGGGAGTTTTTCCTGACCACTGTCGCCACATGCATGCTGGCTATAAGAGGTGACTATAAAGATAATGACACAAAGGATCCATTTTTCACATCTTAATCCACAGTTAATGTTGCAACTCAATATCTCTGCTCATTCTCCTTAGAAAAACTTTTAAACTTATTATAGCAATAAATGCAGTATTTGACTAGAATCAATTGTAACATGCCTTGAGACGACATGTGTTGGGAATTAGTGCAACATAAACAAAGTGAATTGAATTGAATAGCAAAATTTTCTGGCATTTCACTTATCAGCTATTTTCCTTTCAGACTGAAGAAGCTGTGCTGAATCTCTCCTGCTATAAAGATAATGACAGTTACATCCTGAACCACAAGACTCAGAGGAGCAGATCATTTTTATTTAGATTGTACAATTCAAAATGTACAATGCAAAGCAAAATAAGCTTCACCCCTGTAGATTCTCACAAACCAAGACAGTGTTATGTAAATAAGTGACCAGCCATGAGAGTTTGTTAATCACATGTCAAGCTGGAGCCCCTGCAGGGAGTTGGCACTGGTGGAAATGGCCTTGTGTGCATGACGTGTCCATCCTATTTCTGGGTGTTTTGTCATTCTGCTGGGTGAACAAAACACCTGAGGTGTTATGTTAAAGCTGGGTGCTGAACTCTCTCTCAGGACTGTGAGGAAAGGTTATATGAATAATGAAAGAGTCTGGGGTCTTTTACTCATTGACAGTGACATTTCTGACAAGAAAGTTCAAAAGTATTTTAATTGATAGTAAAAACAGAAGCTTCTTGATGAAAGCTGCTGATGTAAAAGTTTCAGCTTTTAATGCCTTCAGAGGATTTTTCTACTGCCTGGGTGGGTTTGTTACCAAAGCCGTTGTGTTGGCTCTGAACCAGTTTGGGAACATGAAGAGCCCAGCAAAAATTTTCCGCACCAGTCTGTGTGCCATGCTGGGAACTTGGGCCAGCTACAATACCGCCACCTTTCCGCTTTTTCGTTTGGAGCATTCGATCACGTTTACCGGCTGGGCTCTCCGTTACAGCTCTCACAAGAAAAAAGCTTGTTTCATCTTATTACTTCTGCAAGACAAAAGGCGCGAAATGCACACGTATAAAAATGAGAAGAGGAGGAGATTTAAGTACAAATCTTTATTTAATTTTGTGATGCATGAAATGTGAAGGAGAGCACTGCCCCATTATTCTTTGTTAGTTCAGAAAATGAGTTTTCTTTGCACACACACGGTGTAACATGCAAACGGGGATTAAAAAGACAGAGTGAAAAGGAAATTGCAATAACTCTTCAGTATGACATTAGGAATAAAGTGACAAATTCATAAAATGTTGTTTATTGTTCTTCTACTATTAGATAAGAAGTATTTTTGCATGCTTTCTGTTAAATTGTTTCTATTTATTACATTTGGCGCAACACGGTGTCATTACATTTTAACAACTCTAACAAAAGATACAATATGCAAAACTACAAAATAATTGTGCTCTTATTTTTAAAACCCCTTTTATGATAAAATAGGACCACAGTGCACATTTAAACCTGAACCGCTTCACTTTTCTAATTCTAACATGAGCTATCCTTGCTCGTCTTCAACCAACACTGCTTGAACATAATTCATGCAGTGAGAGAAGGATGAGAAAAGGTCAATACATTTTGCATTTAGTTTAATAAGTATGCGGCTAACAGATTCAATGACACGCTCTGCACACAAAGATCCGCAGCCTGGACATACAACGCGCTGCAGAAAAATATTTTCAGAAGCTAAAGTCTAAACTCTTATATTGTAGCCCTTACAGAGGCCTGATTCTGACTTTGTCATGCTTCCATGGTGTTGAAGATCGTTGCAAAAGAACATGTATGTGGCCAGTGCTGCCCTCTGACACGGGCTGGCAGACAGACTTCTTTGTATTCATCATATCTGCAAATGAGACAAACAGAAAAATATTCCTGGTGTCAGTCGGGCCTCTCTTAGTTATGCAGCTGGCATCAGACCTGCCTAACAAGCACTGACAAATAAAACAAAACCACATCAGTGTGTTCACTTTGTGCTTTGTGTTATGGAATAAGGTCAGTGAGTCTCTTTCCTGTTTTGACTCCGATCAAGGCTCAGATCTCCAAGAATTGTGTTTTGCAAAGCCATCCAAAGTCTTGCCAAAAGACAAAATAATACAGCTATCCAATGCAACGAATTGTAAAAGTAAAGGTGACGGAACAACCAAAGCTACAGAGAAACTTACATTTGAAATGGTGATTTGGTTTCTTTATCTAAATTTTAAGAAAACATTTGGGGTTAGAAAGTGCAAGAGAGCAGACAGCAGGGATTGTGCAGAGGACTGGTCAAAGATTTGTGTTCCAACTTTGTGAAATGTTACAAGACATCACTAAGTGCTTTCCTATTGGTAGAATGATGGTGGGACATGTAGAGCAGATAGTGCAAATAATTTAATCCATGGCTTCTTCAGCTCAATCCACCACACAAAAAAACACGAGGAAGAACTGATAAAATCTTCATCTGCTGCATGCGTATCCATGAGGGTAAGGGGGAGTCATGTGTACTTGTTTGTACATTTTCATTTTAGAATAATAAAAACTCCAGACTGTAAGCTCGAGGGGATGAGAAAGTAATTGGAAACGTAAGAGCGGAGCAAAGCGTAAATATCTTGGGAGGGCTCCTGCTCTCTGGTGAGCTCTTCTCGTCACAAGACGAATGCCTAATTATTGCTGCGCTCTGACAGAAGAAGACGCAAGGAAACAAAACTGGGGAGACTGAATGGGATAATGACCATATCTGTGTCACAATCCACCATGTATTAATCTTTCCATTGATCAACAGAGCTGAGGTGCATTATCTGAGTCATGGCTTAAACTACATTTAATCTGCTTCTAGAAATGAAACGCCAGTGTTCATTATATTTTATAATTTAAGAGTGTTAGGCTGTAACTTTGTCCTGATTGATAAGGTGTTCATTTGAAGCAGACATCAGCAGCTGTTTAATATTAGAGAATATCAGAACCTTCACTGCGCAGTTCAAGAAACATTTTGCTCTCAGTGTTTTTCTGTGGTCATCAGCTCTTAATTCCTCAGTCCATATTTCTAAGTGCTTGTCTGGCAGAGCGCCCTGAGTGGGAGATGAGCTGGTGAGACAACACAACTATGAACCTTGGCTGCTTCGGTGCTCTGCAGTCTGTCGGCTCTCTGCGCTGCGATCTCATGCCAGGCGTGCCTCGGTGGTGCGTTCAGGCTCGGTTCGGTCGCTGGGCTTCCTTTGGCTTCGCTGTGTCAAACGGCGTCCTGCAGACACAGCTGCAACATGCGTCGCTGCACTGGGGAGGAACGAAAAGGTAGAAACAACCGCTGCTCGTGTTTTACATCAGTGCACAAGAACAATAGAATAATGCCGTCAGGTTTTCCATCAAAACTTAACTCCATGCCAACTGAGCTTTGCTGAATGCAATAGAACATTAGTGTTTTTCTTTAGTAGAGTATATAATAGTGAAACATTTTATAAAAACAGGGGCAAAAACATGAGTGCAGGTTTAAGAATAAACCTTTTATCATATGCCAAGAACTTCACATATTACAATAATTACAATGTCTGACTGTGTTTGCAGATATATTTAAGCCCAATGGTATTCATAACCCTGGCAGATTTAGTTCAATGATAATTTTCATTCAACCAAGAAATGCATTTTTCATTGCAAATGAGAGGGATCTCTTAAGAGGTGACAAAAGAATATAGAAGGAATCAGTTTTGAAAAAAAGTTGTATTTCTATTTCAGTAAAAAAATGGCATGTCCAAAGTTATTTACATCATTCTCTATAGTCATTTTTATTGACTGCATCAAACCTTCTTGTAGTTACTGAATAGGTATTAATATTACATCCAGTCAGACGAAACATGTAGGTAAAATGAAAACATTACGTAAACCTAAATCTGCCAGCAGTAAGGACAATTTTACTACCATGACATCGTTTTGTAGTCATTTCTATATATGCATGAATGATGCAAGAGATAAGACCAGGGCTGGTTACCAGTATCAAGGTTTGCTAAGGTTTTTAAACAAGTAGAGAACTGCTAAATCTTTCTCTCATGCTATGCTAGAGAAAGTGCATGAGTGTTTCCTGGTATCGGTGTCTTTCCCCATCCACTGCTGTGCACTGCTGCCCAGCTGCCTGAAAGAAGGCTTCTACATCATCTCATTCTTAAAAGGAAGACAAATTCTTCATTTCCTTGGAAATATTTCTGTTTGTCAGTTGGAACAGCGGGAAATTGAACCTTGAGTGAACCTTCGTAATGTTCAGCTATGAATGTGTTAAAGCAAACAAGCTTTCAGATTACGTTCCTGCTCTTCAAGTTTGGTGAGCACCGCTCGCACACGTGCAAACTGTTGCAAAAATGGAGATCTGCGCGAGCGGCTAAAACAACATTACACACCCCCTGCATATCGCTTGCACCTCTGACATGCGAAGCTGTGGAGGACAGAAACAGCTGGTATAAACCAGGCAGCTCTTTTCTTATGTTAACACTGTTTTAAATTTACATGTGGCTTGTCGAACTTTTTGCTTTAAATCTTTTTATTAGAATACCATGACACTGGGAAGTTTCAGGTTATGATGTAGATTTGATCCTTCACAGATAAATAAATTACAAAAACATTAATGCACTGCAATGTAATGCTATCAAAACACAGATGCGAAATAAAAACTGGTTAATTTTCAATATTAATAATACATCTTGAATATTCCAACCATTTCTCACTCATAGTTTCTAACTGACTGTTATATTAAAAACAGTTTGAATTCATCTGGTGCTTCTCTTCGTGCTCGTTTCCCATGATGCCGCTGTCCTCAGTGTTTTCCGGCCGTCTCTCCAGCTTGTCTCTGGCCCCAACAGACAGACACGACATTAGCTGATGGGAAAATTCCCGTTGTTGTGACATCCGTGCAATCAGCTACAAGCTGGAGTAACGAAGGCTACAGTGCAGGAGGGCAAATGTCACGAGGTTAAAGGTGAAGTCTGACGACGGCAGAACAGACTCACTCAAGAAGCAGATGACAGACGTTAAGGGCCACCAGTAACGACAGCCTGATAGTGAAATTCTATCATTTCCAGTTACATCCATATTTCTAATTAGTGAATGTCAGGTTTTAAAAATGCATAGCCCATCTGTGCAGTAGCTCATGTAAAAACAAGCTTTGCTAGCTGCCCTATGGTCAAACTTCCCTCTTCAATTATATTTGGATTTCTTTGTTTCCCCACTTCTGGCTAGTCAGTGTGTGTCCGGCTTTGTTCTTCACAGATCCATAGTATTCCAGCACTGATTTACAGAGCTGACTGTGGTTTTGAGGACATGTCTCTTCAGGCAGTGTAAAGGTGAGGTAGATTGCATTTTATTTCCTTCTTCTTGCTCTGACCTTCACTGGGAAGTTTCATTTTCATTTCTAGTGTATTGAGAAGGTTTGGTCATTCAGAAGACAAAAACGGCTCATTAGCTCAAAAGGCAGAGCTGTCAAATATAATCAAAGGTAAATTATGGAAATGAGACTCTTTCATTGCTTTAGGCAATAGCAATGAGGGAGTCAATGCCAGACCCCCTCAACAAAAGAGCCACATGTCTCTACACTGAACTCTCATCTGGCCTGGGCAACAGCTGAGTGTGCTTCCTCTTCTCCAAGATCCTGTTGAGCTCCTCGGAGAAGCAGTGGGAGAGCGGAGAAGTGTTTTCTGAGTCGCTCTGCCTCAGCAACACGTAGCTGTTCCCGTTCATTCGCCTCAGAACGCTGGGCAGCGTGGCTGACAGCCCATTGGGGAAGTCACACTCTGGAGACGTGTGCTGCGGTGTGGGAGGCAGAGGAGGCGCCGGGGGAGGAGGATCGTTACTCGCTAAAGTCTGAGCCTCACCGGGAACGATCTGCAAAAAGCCTCCGTCCTGGATGTGTCCGTTATGCAGCTTGGAAACTCCATTGCAGACGCCGTTGCAGCGGCTAGAGACGGTCTTCAGCTCCATGTGGGTGGAGTTCCTGTGCTGCTTTTTGCACCTGCTGCTCCTCTTGCTGCTCGGGTGCGCTGCGGCTGCGGCACGCAGAGAGTATTTCCCTCTCTGGTCTGGCCGCAAGCAGAAGCCCACATAAGCAAGCACAACGGTGAGGACCACACAAAGCCCACCGAGGATGGTGATGAGGGACAGATACATGGCTTCCATGTTCTTGGGGGACAGCAGGAGGAGGGAGTGTGCCCCATCAGATGAGGGATGCTCAGTACCTGGTACTGTGGCAACAAAGTTCCGCGTTCGCTCTGTGAGTGGAGGAGGAGGCACATCCAGGCTGATGGTTACATCATAGGTTGCTACGGCAACCTTAACATTGTTCTCAACCGCGTGGCAGACGTAGAGGCCGCTCTGGTCCTGCCGGGCCTTGATGATCAGCAGGCCGTCCGTTCCTGTCCTGAAGCCGGAGCCGAGGTCGTAGCCCTGCACCTCGCCGCCGTTCAGCGTCCAAAACGGAGTCGCCAGGTTGGAGTTGAGCTCGCACTGCAGCAGCACGTCATCGCCGACCCGAACAGATCGGTTCTGCTGGACCACATCTGAAACATCAACATTTTGTTACATAGTGCTTTTTATGTCTCCACCGAATTTGCACATGTGAGGACTACAATTTATGTTCCTTCTTTGCAAAATATTTGAAGCTCAAATATTTTGAGCTACATTTTACTGAAATTGCCTGTTAGCAGCAACATTCTTCTCCAAGATTCTTAACCGGATCACACTTGTGAGATTTTACTTGATTTTTTTCTGTAAGGATGTCAATGGAATCAAGTTTGAAAAAAAGTTTTATTTCCATTTTAGCAAAAAATTGCACATTCAAAATTATTTACAGCCTTCGATGTATTAATTTGTATTGGCTTTATGCAGCGATGCACTTTTCCAAGTTCATCCATCACATAAAACCTCAATAAAATGCACAGAAGTGTGTGGCTTTAATACGACACAGTGTGCAAAAGTTTGAGGAGCATCTAACTTCACAAAATTACATTAACTAACCCCTTGACTCACAAACTAATTATTTATCATTTACTATACTTATCACATAATGTCCAGACTTATCGTGGCATGATGTTCAATTAGATACATTTTAACCTCTGGTATCATACAAAGACAGAACGAGGAGTTAGAAGATGCTACATTTCATCAGAGTGAAAATTGATAAACGGGGAGAAGGCATTCGCCTGCCTTGAATATCAAACAGATTTCTCTCCGTAGACAGCAAAGATGTGATTAAAGAAGGGAGGAGAGGATTTTACCAACGCTGTGCATATAATCAACTTTCAAAGAGGCCTTCACGCCATCCGATGACAACTGTGCATCTTTTGAGCCTCATATTCTCTATTTTTAATCCTCTGTCTAGATGTTTAAAGCTAACTATTTTTATATAAGCATCAGATAAGACTTCTGCATACCGTATCCTGTGTTCTCACACCCCGTTCTGCCATGCTGGATGTCTTGGATTAAAGAGGATCTGTGAAAGGGGAGAAAAAAAATAATAATAAGCACAACAGAAAAATAAAGGGTAGCAGATGGTTTTATTACAACCTCATGAACACATTGTCATATAATACATAAAGGCGAAAAAAAGCACATAGTTGTTAAATGAACGGACATGGATATCAGACATGGATATCAGAACCAGCCTTTGCTGCTTGTACAGCTGCAAGTCTTTCAGGGAATAGATCTCAGTGTTGTGCATTTAGAGACAGGGTTGTTTCCCTTTTTTTCTTTGGAAACAACTTGAGTTTAGTCAGATAGGATTGAGAATGCATGTGAACAGAAATCTTTCACTATAGCTCCGACTGTTCGCTTAATTTCAAGTCATCTTCAGTCTCCAACAAGTTTCAGAAGTAAGCTTTGACCAGTTTCCCCAATCCTGCTGAAGACAACCGTCCTTAGAGCATGTTGCTGCCACCACCATGCGCCACCATAAAAATGACATGTTCAAGTTAGTTTAATGGAGTGTTAGTTTTTACTTATTACATCATTTCTAAATGCAACTTATCCATCTTGATTTCATTCAGGGGTATCAGAAAAATACGCCTAGATTTTCATTTCATTCTTCTTCTACTTCCTACTTGGAAATAATCTTATGTTGGACAGCCGCATAAAAAATATACAGAAAATGTTGAAGAATGAATTATTTTGCAAGGCACTGAACAACTTCCTTCTTCCCTGAATTGAATTGTTTCTGCCGATAACGTTTACATGTCCACATAAATCAGCACATTGCATATATGCAGCTGCATGAAGTGTTTACGATTACAGCCAGGGTCATGTTTCTACCAGCAGTCTGATTACGCAACCATTCTGCGAGCTGACATTGTCACAGGGCGCAGCGACACATCAGGTTAGAGATTAGGCCAATGAAGGGTCACCTTCAGTCACCTGATCCAACCGCATGTTGGCAGATTTCACCACTCACCTGTTCGACTGAGTCATTACGTCCACACACTCGGCTCCGCTCCAGGCACAGTGAGGGTCCCGGGAAAATATGCAGTCATAGCAGGAAGTGTATCTCTCGCAGTTAGACAGAGGCAGCTGAACAACGCCTGATGAGGAGCTGATGTACACACTCGTCTGAGGGGGAAAAAAAATAGGACTTTAAGTATTACGAGGCAGTGAGTCATCTTCAGCTTTGTGTATTTAAGGCGGTGAGATTGGCTACCCGCTCTGCAGACAGTAGAACGTTGGTAACAGGTTCTGGTTTGTCAAACAGCTGCAACTCTTCGATAATGTGCAGCTGACCTTTGATGGCTACTGCTTTGTGCAACCAACCTTCATCTGGATGGCAAAGATCAAAGATTTGAGATGTTTAGTTAGCTAATTTTCAAAATGTTAGTGAGCTGAGATGATTTGGAAAACTTATGTGTGGACCTATATAACCATTGAACTTCACACAACATTTTCCTTTTTGAAAATGAGGATGAAAAACAAATGAGACATAGACACTCAATATTCAACACTGAAAAACCATTGGAGGAGCAAAGCTTTGGATTTAAGTTTAATAACATTCACCTCAAAACATTTTTTTAACAGATGAATTATCCTTAGTACTTAGTAAACCCACTGCAGCCATATTCAATGAATTGGAATATACCACAGAATATTCAATGAATGTTTGTCAGATTAAAAGTATGTTTTGAAAACAGCAACATTTAAGCGGGTATTAAACATACTTTTCACTAAATGCACATTTCTGTTTTTAAAGGCACATGAAGTTTTATTGGTTAAATGCAATATTCTATATTTAAATATGTTCTCATTACTTTTGAGTGTGAAATCATCACTGTTAAGATGGAAAGGGCTCTTAAACATCCATCTGTGTGTAATTTACCTACATAATAAAATCATTTAGTAAGTTCCTGAAATAAATGGACTTTTCAGTAATGTTCCAATTTATCAAATGGGTTTGTATTACAGTTAAAAAAATTATTATTATGACAAGCAGGTTCAAAATGAGTAGATCAAAATCTTATTAATAAATAATGGAAAGCTGTCTAATAAGTGGGATTTAACAGATGACTACTGCAACCACTGGCAAAAAATAAAACATGGGATCAGAAGATAGTCAGATGTTTTCATTTGCAGCACAGAAAAATCCCAATTATTTCATCATCAGCCAAATTAATGCCATTCCTGAATTGCTTTCAGATGCCATGAAAGCTCATTACAAGGGCCAAGTAATGTCCTGCAGGCTGCATTTCTGACAACTCAAACAGCAAAGGCACAGGTGAAACTTTAGAGACGTTTCTCTTTCCAAAAGTCAAATGAATTAAAAGAAGATCTCAAAAGTCAACAATGAAGTCAGTGAATAAACTAGATTTCCAACTAAAAATTTAGTATGAATCTTGTGTGGATAACAATGTGCCATTCTGCCAAGCTGATATATCAGCTGTTAAAAGAAAATGTTGGAATCTGATTGGATGAAGAATATTGTGTTTAATGCCAGTAAGTCGAGCCTCCAATGAGCTGAAGTTGACACACAAGGCAGAGAAGATGCAACAGGAAATCTGTTTTAAGGAAATCTATATTTTCTCTAATGACTTAATCTCAGAAAAATTATCACTTATAACAACTTTGTATTTTTATTGTATTTTTTTTTTTTTTTTTTTTACAAAGACTGTCAAACAAAGCATGTTTTTTGTTATTTGAAACAACTGACTGAACATCCTCCGAAGCGCTGACATCAGATTTTTTGCCAGGGGTTATTACAGACCGGCGTTTGCAGAGCCTTCATATCGGGCATTTTGCAATTCTAAAATGATCTGATATAACATTCAGAGCAGAAACAGTACCACACTCAAATCCTCCCACCAGCCCTCACTGAAAAACAATGTTTTGTTTTGCTTTTTTCATCTTGAAAAGGACTCTAAACTCTCCGTTACCAGTTTTTATCTAAAAGTCAGCTTGCCGAGAAGCTTTATACACACCTGTGCCCATATATAAAACATGGTACATTTGCTCGTCTACTCCCTGGACCACAGTTGCTGCCATATGTGTGTAGTCTGTTGTCCTCCTGAACAAGAGGGGACGTCTGTCTGCAGGCAGGACCTGACGGGACATTAGAGGATGCCGTCTGACAAAATCTAGGACTTCATCAGGTAGGGACGTGGAGACGTTCATGCCCTTAGCCCTCAGTTTGCCAGTGATACACTGCAGTAAAAGAAAGACCAAAGAGACACATAGACGGGGGATGAGGACGAAGTAACAAAGAGCTTGGAGAGTGAGAGGGAGAGAGACAGTGTTGTCCTTATATGTAATAAACCAGCCTTTAAATAGAGGCCGGCTCTGGAGGGTAGAGAGGATGTCAGGAGGATTAGTGAGACGGTCCTCAGGGAGAATTCAGACATCATGAGAAAAATATAAACCTTTGCAAGACTGTGTCAAGAGAAACTGCAAGTTTTCATTTAGATTTTAATAAGCTTGTGTGAGCTCAGCGTCCGTTTTCCGCTGACATGAGGGCGACTCAGCTCTCACTGCACCTGAATGAGGAGGCAGCTTTCCTTTCGCTTTGTTCTGTTCAAATGATGTCAGCCAACTCCTCTAAGAGGCTTTCACGCTCTCACCCCAAAACCTTTGACTATTCCTTTTTTTTCCCCTCCATTTAATAGGAAAGTTTAATTAAGTCTGAAGAAATGCTGAAATTCACCCACAATAGAAAATGTCTCCAACCACAAAGTCGACCGCTGGCCTCTCTCCCCTTTCATTAATTGCCATAAAAATGGTTTGAGTGTCTCAAAGCTGATTTTTATTCTTTGCCTAGTTTTCCCTCCATCTTTAGTGCAATTCCTTAATGAATCTGCTCTCTCTAGCTATTCCTATTTAATGCAGGTTTAAGATGAGATTTGTTCCAATTTTTAAAAAAAACTCAAAAGCCATCACTGCCTGTGTAAAAGTTTGTGGATATGTGCTTACAGTTCCAGGTCGTGGCTCAGGGATTTTTCCAACATATTCCTTCCAGGTGGAGCCGGAATCCTGGCTCTCCATGTAGGGACCTCGGAAGGCTTCTTGGACTTCAGACAAAGAGAACCGACACACTGCAGACGCCTTCACGTTTTTCCTTTGTACGTCAAGCAACACCGGGAGAAAGACCAGAGCACAAGTCACAAACAATAACACTAGTAAACCAGGGGTTTCCATGGCAAGAGACGCAGAGGTGCAGCCGGGCTACAGCTTGTCAAAGCATAGAGAGAGACACACAGGAGGAAAATGAGGAGGAAAATGAGGATGAGTGGTGACAGAGATGAAACTCATTAGAAATCATAAAGGTCTGAGAACAGGAATTAAGAGGCAACAACAAGGTATAGGGAAGGTAAGAGACAGAACTGGAGCTGAATAACAAATAACATCAAGATGTATGGAGAGTTATTTGCTTATGCTGTTTGCTTTGATATAAAATAGCATTTTCCATTGTTGCTGCCTTAGGGTGAGGGATTGATTTATGCAGTAGTGATTCACACAAAAATCTTCAAACTCAAAAGTTCAGTGCAATTTTGTCTTAGTGATAACTTGGGCAGTATGTGGAAGCAAAAACTGAGTTCCTGTTTAAGCCCAGAAAACTCCACAAAAATTGACAAAGTATGATGAGAAATGAACTTACTGATTCACAACCCAAAAAGCCCATCAGTTCTGATAGACTGCAGGTTTTGTGGCTAGTTGCAAAATGTCTCCAGCTCCTCCATAGTTACCAGCTTCTCAGTTCATGTGTCTAATTGAGCCTTGGTAGCTTTGCAGTTTTGTCATGCTGTTTAAGGTGCATGAAAACCTTTCAAAGCAGCATATGTGCTTTAGCTATCAAAGAGTTTCAGACAAGGAGAAGAGCTCTTTACATGCCTCCTCTGAGTGATAGCAAAGAGATGTAAATGGAAATTTATTGCAGACTTTATCTTAAACAATTCAAGCAGCAGCCGCACTTAACCTTCATGCATTTATTTGTGCTAAAAGTTACTGAATAAAAATAATCTTCTTGTATTTTTGTTTCATTTGAACCACATAAATCTGCTGTTTTTCAACATTCAAAAGCAACTAAAAATCTGTGCAGCCTTTTCCTAAACATCTGTAAACCTTCAGCTCATCAAACCACTTGGACCTAACGCCCTCTGGACATAGTTTATCTGCCCTATCTCTATCTCATCTTTGGAAGCTTCAATGTATTAGCTGTTGCTCGTCCGCTTTCGCAATCCCAATCTCCCTTCCTTCCCACTCCGCAACCCAAACAGAGATCTTTTTTTTTTTTAACTCACCACTCCAAACCGAAGATGCCGTAAAACAGAGTGTCCTGTGGGGTGAGGCCATGCATTACGAAGATGCTGCGTAGCATGTTAAAGTGGAAGTCGTACTCGGGCAGAGAGCAAGTCAGTCTCGTCTTTAGGAAGGACGTCCATCGTTTCTGGAGAGTCAAATGGCCTCCTCGGTCTCCCTGAGGGACAAAAAAGGAGCAGATGAGGAGAGGAGAGTCATGTAAGGTGAGGACTACAAAACAGCCAATGTGTCAGGAAGACATTTACAACTGATGTGGGTAGATGTGAGGTGCCATGCTTCATATCTGTAACACCTCTAGAAATTCAGAACTGAGGGTGCACAAAAAAAAAAGGTTATGACCCCCTAGTGGAATTTTATTCCCTGGTATCAGATCAATAATAAATGTCAAAGCCACACACACAACTGATACAGACATCCTTGTATGATAACAATCTTTTAAAAATGTTTTTTGAGTTGAATCTTTTGGATACTGAACAAGAAATCCCAGTGTATTTCAATTTTAATAAAACAACCCCAGTGAGCTCCCTTCACTGAAGACGAACAACAAGGTTATAAAAGGGAGCAGATGGCTGCTGCCTGTCAGGGCAGTGGCATCTTTCTTTTTTGAAAAGAAAGATGCTAAGCAGCCTGTCTCGCCGGCATTCATCCTCCCCAAACCTCACTGGCTCTGCAACTAATTCATCACCAACCCAGTCTGCTCCTGTAATTATGCCACGCTCCTTGATTTTAAATGCGTTTCCCATCCCGCCCCTCGTTTGTTACATCAGCTAAAAACTTCACACATTTACCCTGATGAATACGTAAGACCTTGAGAATGCACTCACCTTACAAATTCGGGCAACACGAGCAACCCTGCTGTGGCTGTAGGTTGTAGATTGCTCCTGGCTCTTCTCAGTGAAGAAGAAGTAGATCTTATCGTCGTCTCCATTGCTGCTGCCCAAACTCTCCCTGACAAGAGCTGAACCCACAAAGTCTGCCTCTGCAAAAAAGAAGAGATGAATTGACTCAAGCGTTGCTTTTTATATTTGTATTTGTGTCCTATTTAGATGTAATAAAATTAAGAGGTCAATCCATGCAGAATTTGCTTTATCAACTAATTAATCTATCTAACTGCGTGCTCTTTCTCATTAAGACCATAAACATTGCAATGTTAAACAAATTGCAAAGGGCCATCCAGAAACTCCATCATAATGTTAAAACACTTTCAATAAAATTGTTGTGCACTCGCACAGTCTTGTCATCCAAATGTGATCAAATGCGTCCATTTCAGGAAATGATCTCACCATTCAGCCAGCGTGTGGGAGCGTTCTCAGTCTTCAGAGCGGGAGACGGAGCGTTTCGGCGAATATCTGGAAAGCTCCAGAAGTCATACCGGGAAGCCGTGTATATCTGCTGGTCTGAAGCAAAAACAAGGTTTTGCGTCATCCAAATTTGAAAACAAATTCTTCATGAAATTTTAATTTTTCATGTGGGTTACCTAAAATGAGGGCAGTGTAACCTGTTGTTGGTCCATAAGGACATTTATCTTTGCCTTCTTCAGGCTGAGAGGACATAACAAACCTCTTTTCATCCTAAAGAAAAAACAGGGAAACTTTGATTTTGAAACCAAAAACACTAGCTTTTTAAAAAATAAATAAATAAAAAATATTCAAAAAAGCAGCTTTTGTAGCTAAAACTTAAAATGAATCTACAATCTATAAAACACTTGATAGAAATGTGGTAGATTGCTGAAGAAAGAAAATGTATTGATGAACATACAACAAATGCACAGAGGGGCATATAGGCGTGAGTCCCACACATGTACAGGTGCGTAGAGTTAAACCTCTGCAGGAGGCGGATGTGATTAAAGCACTCTGTCTGAAAGAGGAAGAACAAAAACACACTTAATTAAAATAAGGAACAAACAACAATGTGTGCATTCACATATCAGATGTAACATAACAGCAAATGTCAGCATTTTAGATTAATGAAATGCATATGTGCTGGTTTGTTATAGAGTGAATTACACTAAATATAAATGTACTCTTTGGTTCAAATGCTTAATTGGAAGAAAAGCTCTGTAATATAAAAAAAAGTTCTCAATAAGAAATGGTCGTTCATTTTATTTATGTACACTTGTTTTACATTTATCTGCTACATCTCTGATATCATCCACTTATTTTAGGAATCAAATACTAAGGCACATCAATTTTAAGCATAAAAACAATTGGACCATTTGATTTCATTCAATAAATTTTTTAACCTTTGTTTTTTAAGAGAATGTAGTTTTTAAAAAAAATAATTACAGTAAAAAGTAATGAAAAGGAATGACAGGATTAAAGTAATAACAAAGTGCCAACCTTATTGTCTTTTCCCTTGAGCACGCACTGAAGCTTTTGCTCAGTGGAGGCCTCCCACTTGATCTACAGCAAACCAAAGAACAAGACAGAAAATGACCACGTGATTGAACACTTGAGGATATTGAAACAATTACAACACAATTGGTGGAAAATAGATTTTCCTTTTGTCACCCTGGCATCGAAAATGACTTGTTGAGTAACCAAACGTGTTTTTGTGTTATGTAACAGATATTTAGCTGAGCCCACAAAGGAGATGGAGGCACAGGAGCGCTTGCAATGCAGTGCTATGCACACGCATAAAAACAGGTGGAACATAAAGCAGAACAGATGGAAGACCACACTTGCTAATTGGAGTCAAATTGTTTAATGGAAGAATCCAAGACAAAGTCATAAAATTACTTCAAATATTATTTTTTTTCTAGGCTGGTGTATAAAACAGCTCTAATTAGTGGCTTTAGCCAAATAAAATATTAAGGAACACTTTTCTTATAAAAGTTAGAGGCTTTTTTGGCTTGATATTGAATGTACAACTCAAATTTTAAGCATTTCATATAGCTTGAGGTAGCCGAGTAAAACATTCAACACATAAATGGCAAGAAGCGTAATGTTCATTGTGCCACCAGGACATAGTTTAATTGCTCTTTTATCATGAGTTACCTCAAGGAATATCTAAGCCATAACAAGTCCTAGAGATGTTTACAACAGCTTGACTATGGGAGTATTTCAGTCAATTCTCCACATAAAACCACCAAAGGAAGTCTGTGATGAAAGTTTAATGTCTTCAAGAATACTGGCAACAATTCCTGCATGCATACAAACATTGACTTTTCCTTTACTGCTCTGCCTTTATTTGTTATATATATATACTAAACAATCCTCCATGTGTCCATCACCTAATAATGTTTTATAAACTTTTCAATAACGGTGCTTTTTAATCACAGTAGCATAACAAGCTGAACATTTCAGAATGATCTAATTTTTAATTTGAGAATCTTTCTGTAATATGGAAGCCTAACTGACTCAAATTAAAATTTTAATTTGTTCGTTCGTTAGTTCGTTCAGTTTATAGGACAAAGATAACTTACTGTAAAGACAATAGTTTAAAGTAAATAAGAAGAAAAACATATAAAGATATACTAACTACTAATCTAGGTCAAACTATAACCATCATTTATTGTTCAGCATTGAACCTACCAATGCCTGTGCAAGGAAGTACAAGGAAATATAGTTTAAACATTAAACATAATTGAAGTAAATTATTAACAGCAGAATTAAACATTAGATATTTGGTTTTTACTCGTATATGTAACACTGCATTGAGATTTATGTACAAATTAAATTAGCACAAAATTCCTTTCTTTCTTAATACCTGAGGAGGGCGTTGATGCAAATTAAAATGTTTTTCTCAAATTTAAGCAGCAATTAAAGCGACTGCAGAAAAATAGTGGCTTGCTTTGCTTCTACCTCAAAATGAAATGTTTTGGATGTTTTCTTTCATAAGTTTCCTACACTGGGGAGCATAAACGAAACAGCAAAAACTGTAAAAAAAAAAATAAAAAAAATACATGGCATGTGAGCACAAAACATGCAGCAACCCAACAAACAAACTCACAGTGAGAGCGGAGCCGGGTGAGATGTCAGAGGCATTCAGAGCAAATACGGCCCCACGGGCCCCCACGTAAAGTCGCTCACTGTCAGCCTCCAGCAGCATCGTGCTGTAGTTGACTGCAGAAGACGCAAAACGCCTGTAGCCCTGGAGACCTGACAGATGAGAAGAGGACAAGATTTTAATGAAGGTGACTCTGCTTCTGCAAATAGGAAAAATGTCTATTAAAGATTTTAAAGTTACAGTACATTTCTAAGCCACTCTTGCTCAGTCAAAATCAGCAGCATAGAAATATTTACCATTCATTAATGAGCAGAGGTCACACATTCAAAACCTTTCTATTGTAATTGGACTTCCTCCAATTATTTCTGCAGAACCTTTCTGTAAAATAACAATGGGTACGGTAGAAAAAGCCACTTTTGTACAGCTTCACACATTAATAGCCAGGCATAAGCACAAACACTTTTCACTGGGGCTATTGATTACACTCTGTCTCTATGGGAACAAATGCAGGTTCAAAAATAACCCAGCCCAGAAGAAAAAGGTATTCTCCGTCATTAGATTTTCATTTTCTTGGCTACAATGTACACGGCAAGTTAAAATATTTGTTGAGTGGCGGTTAAAGTAAAAAAGAAAAGAAAAAAAAAATAAAGGAAAATCTGATTGGGTTTTTTCCACAAACGTGTCATGTAAGACATATTAAACCTAGAGACAGAGATCTTTCTCAATCGGATCTGACAGGATGAGGATAAAAAAGGCAAAGCAGAATTTAATCTTGGATGATGGATTTCCCACAGCAGGATTTTTGAATGTTGATGCAAAATCACAGAGCTGGTGTTGCTGTTCCTGTCTTCCTTTACAATTTGATTTTTTTAAATCAGTTTTCTGAAGAAAAATACTTGAGTTAAATATATGTCTGTTTTACTTTTTTTTTTTTTTAAACATGTTTGAAGCTTCTTCCTTGATGATTTTGAATATGATCTGCCCACATTTTTCTCTCTAGTCATTTTCTTTCCCGTAGTTAAAATGTCCCCACCATCTAGAACGTAGTGAAGAGAGCCAATGGAAGCACTTTGCAGTTAAATGAAGAGGTTATGTGATTAAACAGTGGTGGGTAAGAGACGCTGGTTTGTGGCAGGGTGCATTATCCTGTTGAAAGAGGCCGCAGTCATCAATGGTTACCATTTACATGAAAGGATGTAAATGGTCTGCGACAATGCTTTGGTAGGTGCAGCTGTGCAACTACATACTACTGAGGTGTATGCGGGCATATTGTAGGGGGGACTCCACCCCACCACCTCCATCCTGCCCGGGGTTTTCAATGTGCAGGTGTATAAATAAGACTTTATAAAATACATATTAAAAGAAAATAGTGTAATATCATAAGTAGTAAAAAGGAGCATCATCCAGTGCTTTACACACGGACAGCTGTTAGACAAAAAGCTGAAGCAATTTATCCACCAACACTTTAGCACTGCCATGCATCACACATACTGCATATTCACTTTTTACCACCGGGTAAGTGGTATGCAGGTGATAAGTAACATTGACCTTGCAGGACACAAGGCTGCCCAGCAGAGCCTCACATTGTCTGTGCTGGCTTGTTTTCTTCCTATAGTGCATCTTGGAACGGTGCATTGCTAGGTAAATGATTCACTTGCCACCCATGAGATGTGAATAAAATAAGAGTGGCTCAGTGCTTTCATGCACTTTCTCTCAGAACCACCAGTTTGATTGACATCAGTTTGCTTGTTGTATTGAACCACCCAGACCAGTCTTCTCTGTCCAAACCCCTGTCACTAATTCACCATAGTTTTTTTTTGTTGTTGTTGCTTGGACTATTTTTGAAAGATGTTGCCCAACACTTAATTGAGCTACAGCTTAGGAGACGTTACAACCGAGTTGATTCATCGGGAGGCGGCCTTTGTCAAACTCTCTTATTTTTGCCTATTTTTTCCTGCTTCTAACATATTAACTTCAATGACACAGTATTTACTTGCTTCTTAATGTATCTCTCCCACTGTAATAATGAAAAGATAATCAGTGTCATTTACTTGGTCTGGCAGTTTCTGCCTGATAGGTGTGATCTTACCCAATTAATTTTTCCAGCACTCATCAAAACCTATGAAAAGGTCAGGGTAATTTTATACACAGATCACTTGGCTATAAATGAAGGCGCTACACTAATAGCACAAACATTTGAAGACAAAGTTCAATTCAATTCTGCAACCAAAATTCCGTGTCCAACGAAAATATAAGGCTGATCGTATCTGAGTTCATCCAACATCCTCAGTCGAATGTTCTCTGCATTTTTCTTTTGTCAAGCTAAACACCTCCATATCCTCCCTCCCCACTCCTTTGGCCTTACCTGACTGGCAATTCAATCTCCAGCACATTTCTCCAAATAGACCCAGTATCTCCCTCTCTGTGCAAGCAAACTCGGTTTTATCTTGATATTTCTGTTCCCAAACTATCCATCCTGAGCGGTCCCTATGGATATACTCCTCCTTGCTGCTGTCCATCCTCAGCATTCTGAACACAGATCTCAGCTATTTTTTTTCACTGCAAATTTCTACATTTTAATCAGTGGCATGAAGCATAGCTTGGAATCACAGCTAACGTTTCTTTAATGTCGATTTGACTCTGATGCATATAATTTAGCAAAACTGTTGAATAAACACGAACTTTTTAGAGAGATATTTACAAGAGCTAATTATCTCAATTTTATCCATTTTCACAGTTTTTCCTCTATTAACAGTAACAGAAGCATAACAAACCATTTAAAGCTGGTGAGCTAGGCTCTGGTCGCCACCCTGCAAGCAGCTGCTTAAAAACACAGCCTGTTTCCTCCCTCCCCCTTTATTTTTTGTGAGGGAAAATGTTGGAGCATCCAGCAGTGTGCAGCAACATGTGGGGGAGGGAAAGTGAAGCAATACTTAATGCAATAAACAGCTGAAAATTTTCTGGCATTTCATTAAAAGTACGTTGAACTGCAAATGGACTGAAGCGCCTTTGACACATGGCTTTTTTGCACCTTGGAATACCTTGACCACAGAAACTGACCCATCTGCTCTCATTTTGCAGTAATTTTCACACATTCCTCTTAAAGGAAAAATGTGTTTCTTCCACAGTACTAAGAAAAAAGTGTTAGTAGACCAGTGAGCAGAACTGTTTTACTCTGTGTGCAAAGGTAGTTTAACTTTATGAATAGTGTGACGGAATATCTTTTGGAACATTTTGGAACAATAAATCCTTAATAAGGCCATTGTTTTCACAAATGAGGTCATCAAGGTCACATGAAAACCTGGCTCTTCCATCTATTTGAGAGTGTAGTGGTCATTAGTGAACTCTATTGCCATTCAGTGTGATTGTTCCCGAGTTCCCGAGGAGTTCACAGTTTATAAGTCAGATTTTTGCAACTAAAGTTTTAAAACTTAAAAAGACTTTTGGATGAGAAGTGAAGCGAAACATCTTCAAAATACCAACAGAAGTCCAGTTGCCTTCATTTATTAAGGTCCCCTCATACTTGGGTGTACTTTGTTAGCCACACGGAGTCATCACAAAGAGTCAGCGGATGGTTGAGATTTCATAGTCGAGCATAGCGATTCCCTACATTTTTGTGGCAAATTCCTTCATTTCCCAGAATTTGAAATACTGGCAAGTTCACTGCACTGTTTCTTCACCAAGATGGCAGCCACTGCACTCCTCATCAACATGGTGTCATACACGAAACATTTCAACATGAACACGGTTTCCTGCCAAGCAGCTTATTGTGCAACATGCCCACCATGTGGAGGATGACTGAAAATCTGCATGCAGATGACTGCATCTATGTCAAGGTAACCAAAAGACCTTGTGAAGATGCTGGCTGAAGTTGAGAGGAAGGATGGGTTATGCTGCAGCCAGGATAAAAAGCCTGGCTGTAGCAATTGCACTCAGGAAGACAGATTGATTTCTGGACACATCCTGTAGTCTGATTAACCTGGAGTTGAAATGTTTGGCCAAGATAAACATTATTACTTCTAAAGGAAAAAGAGGGAAAGCTTGCAAACCTGAGAACATTGTTGTGGTGCACGGGTTTGGTAGCATCATGTTTTAACTGATTGACATCAGTTTGCTGCAAAGTGAACTGATGCAATTTACAGAATAGATGACTAAATAAGAAAATAACATTAGATGGAAGTATTGACACAAAATTTCATCACAAACATCAGAAAAGATATTACAGATTGTGTACAAATGGTGCTATAGGTATCTCAATTCCAGGTTTTAGCTGCATGTCATGCTCTGGTTTTCAAGCTATATTTGGATGGATCTGCTTGACAGTCCAAGATACTAATGAGGTCACATGAAGACATCCAGTACAATGTGTGTTCACACGCAGACACTAACAACAGATGTTAGAAACCTGCTTGCCGCAGAAAGTTGTGCAAGTTCTAAACATATAATCTATGAGTCCACTTAGGCCGAGTAAACTTGACACCAGTGTCAATAAACACAGACATCTCCGAGCCTGTAAGAACCAAAGCAATATTTGGAAGCAGCTTGTGATGTACAGCTAAGTCAGTGTCTAATTAAAATGCCTGCAGAGATTGATGCTGAGCAGCTTCTACGATCAGGTGCGGTAATTTTGACGGCAATTAAGCCTTATGAATGCAAAGACAATCTACTTCTCATGCCTGCCAGAGAGCGATGTAGCCAAAAAGAAATGTGTCATGAATCCACCAGCCACAGCCAATTCACTTCCCTCTGAATATTGCATGGTTATCATGGAAGCTGTCATTAAGATTCCTATCAGCTGCTCTGAAACACAATGCTCTCTGTTCGGCTGAGCAGAAGTCATTTCCTAACCCGAGCTGCTCCCGGGTCTTCAGGTGTCTACTTTTATCCTTTATTCTCAGCAGAAACAAGAAGAGTTCTCAATCTCTGAGGGATTTCAGAACAAGAACTTCTCCTACGCAGCATGAGCGTCTCATTATGGGAGAAGACAATGCATTATGACTGAAAAAAAAAAGCTTACTTTCCTCTAAGCAATCCAAGCATTAAGACGCAAAACATCTTGTTTGAGTGAGGGCTTGACAGCAGCAGTGAAGAACCTCAAAACATCCTCACTGGGAGTGTGGCACACCAGAGAGAAATTTATCAGGGCTGCTTTACAATAATAAGTCCCAAAAGCACATTTTTAGCTTCGGCTTACAAGAGCATTGCAGAAAAGGCTGTCTGAGTCGGGTTGTGAAACAAAAAGGTTTGAGCCTGTCACAGAGAGGAGCCGCAGTGATGTTATTTACCGAGCAAACACATGGAGGGACCTCAGCTGATCAGCTCAGTACACTGTGTTCAAGGAAACACACACACACACACACACACACACGCACACACCCACACCAAGCACACACAAAGCACACAAACACGCACACACTCATTGAACTTCAAAGCATTGGATTGTGACGTGACAGCACAACGTGCCCTGCCGACAGACATGTTTTTGTTGCTCACCTTTCTGACGTTTACATGAATCTCAGAGCAAATTATCACAACACCTGACAGGTTTAAATTAGGAGAGGCTTTCTTGTGTTTTTTCCTCCATTTAAAAATCTCTCCATCACCCAAATGGTTGGAGAATTGATTAAAATTGATAAACCTAAGAAAATTTTACCTAACGTGATTTTTTGTTTTGAAGAAAAAATAGTAAAGTTGAAATGTTTGTATTCACCAATGATTTGTCTTACCACTCTAGTTTGGAAACCTTAGTTCTAGATTGCAGAAAATATAAGTAGTGAAGGTATCAGGAAAAAAAAAAGAGTTTTAGTAAAGGGCAAAAGATTCATACTCCTTCAACTTTTTCACATTTTGTCCCATTGTAGCCAAACACTGAACCCAAAGATACCTCCAAACAGATCAAATTTAAAACTGTTTAATTGGATTTGATGCTGCAGATTGCAAAACACTGATTATTATCAAGTGGAAGCATAATAATAGATTGAAACACGTGGAGTGCCTTTGTATTCAGCCGGTCTGAGTCAATATTTTGTTAAATCACCTTCACTCCAATTACAGCTGCAACTCTTTAGGGTATTTGGCTGCCAGTTTTGCAGATGTAAAGACAGCAAAAAGTAACTTTCACACATTCTCAATTAGATTTATCTAGATTTTGCCCAGGACATTCTAACATGAATTTGGTTACAGCTATACCATTTCAGTATCAATCTAGGGTCTGCCGTTATGTAAGAGAGAGCAGGTTCAGGGTTCAACTTCTGTTGGAGTTGTTTGCTTGTGTTGATCTGCTACAAAAGGTTATGATAACACACATCCAAATGTTTGGTTGGGAAGCAACAAAATGGAATAAAGTTAGAGAAATATAAATTATTTTTCAAGGCAGAGTATGAGTTTAATAACATAATAAAGTGAAAGAAGAATACTCAGCAACAACTAAGGTAACACCAAGAAAAGGATATTTATGTTGACTTAGAGAGATAAGCAGATTAGAGGAATGAATTAAAAAGAATTTGTTTAAGAGGGTCAAAAGGTTGAATGAGCACAAATTATAAAAATGAGCTGCACATGGTCACAAAGAGGGCTTTAAATAAAGAGGAGTAATGGGAAATATTTAAAGAAATAAAACTGTTTAGAAACAAGTGGGATCACTTGAAAAACTCTGTGTGTTGCATTAAGAAATTTTTAAAAAAGTATGAAAAAATAACTTCTGTTATAACGATTCACACATCCTTACACATGTCCAAAGATAAAAAATATTGTATACCGCCGTCTTGCACCACACTACAACAGTTGTCATGGTTACGGTGCTTCTCGACTACTCTGAGCGAAGTCAGACTCCCTGGATGCTCTGCAGGGATCCAAGAGAAAGCAATTCACACATCTGCTTGTGTCTCCACCGCACCTCGGGCTACATGCCACCGCTCACGAGGTGAGTAAATAATCATCACTACTGAGCACAAGAAGAGTAAAAAAAAAAATCATCACCTGTGAAAGAAAGAGATACAATGTTTATTCACAGGAGTGAATAACTGAGATGGTTCAAGAAGGAAGGAATAAAAACAAGAATGGAGCCGTTTTAAGGTGTGAAAGAAAGAAGTGGCAATAAAATCTTAAAAGATACAAGGTCAAAACATAAAAATTTTAACTGTTGTAATTTTGCATGAAGTTTTTTATTATTATTATTTAACTGGCATTTAATATTATTCAAACTTTGAATGGCAGGGGGAAAAAATGAAAGAAATTAAAGCTTTTAGATAAATTTTAGACCCTTGATTATCATTTGCTCACATTCACCTTTGGCATAAGAAAATTGCTGCAAATTTGAAAACATTGGAAATGGTTTGATATTCCTCAACCCTTGTCCTAATAAAGATATATGAACATGAGCTTTTCTATGAAGCTCATGCCCAAAACTATGAAAGTTGCATGAGAAGTTAGTCACACATGCTAACTGTAACGTAGCTAACAAACACAAACTAATCCATTCAATGATTTCAATGATTTTCAATATCTTATTGTGCAGAAATGCACTTCTAAGCTTATCTTCATTTTACAGAGTAAAACACACAACCTGACATCAGCTGGTTAATTAGATGGACTATCAGCTCAGGCAGAGCCTGCAGTCAGCTGCTTAACAGTCATGCCACTTGAAACTTGCCAACTCTAGCTTTAAAGCAAGATTACCTGGATAAGTGTGAAGGGTAGTGCTGCTTCAGTTATGCCAAGACTGTAATCAAAGATACCTCCAAACAGATCAAATTTAATGCTTTGCAAGCATTAAATTTAAACATTAAATGTCTAGTGCCTTTTCATACCAGGTGATCCATGGCGCAGAGTCACAGGTGGGTAAACGGAAGCACTGTGTTACTCTATAATCCATATAAATACACAGAGGAAATCTGGCTCGCTCTGGCACTTTCTGCATTGTTTAATAAAAAAGGACTTTGAACCGTAGGGATGGTAAGATTAAAGATTTGACTGTCAAATCTTCGACATTTATGGTATACCAGTAACTGGTCCTTTCCTAATAACAATATATTAATGTAACAGATTAAAGAAATTAATAAACGTTGGTACTGGAGTTTTTACACGTGGTTATCACAGAGAGAAAATTTAGCATTGGTTCATGCCAGGTTACAAGCTAAGAAACACCCTGAGAGATGGGAACACGACAGTAAAATGGTAATCACAGAATATGCTCAAATATTCTTCTGGAAAATATTTTTAGATTGCAAAAACCATGAATGTAAATCTCAGCAGACATCCTTACCATTGCGCAGGACGGTGACACGTGGAGTCACGTCCAGGTCCAGAGGTGTTCTGAATGGAAAGCCAGTCGCCACTGCACACAACAAAGTGAGCAACAGGAGCATCGCTGCCATGAAGTGAGCTACCCGCATCTCTGCTTGGCGTCTCTTCGGGTAGAAACTCTCCTTTAACAGGTCGCACGTGTGCACAAAGACATTCACCTCTTCAGATAAACACTCGTGGGCTGTCACTCTTTTCCTTCACTCTGGGGTTCCTTCAGTGTGCCCCAGCAGCAAGGAGGGAAGAAGCCTGAAATAGTAAAATGCACACACAGAGCCAGTGGAGTTAATAGTCTGTGATCGAGAATGGCAAAATAGGAAGAAAAGTTGGTGCTGCAGGGTTCAGTCACAACAAATGAGCTGATGCATAGGTTGTTCCAAGAAATACATAAAGTGCATTTGATCTATTAAAACATATCATGTGCTTCAAACTCTCAGAGCATTGATTAAGAGTACATGAATCTCATATTTTAATAAAAACACAACTGGAAACCGAGACACGTATGCACCAACATCCCAACCCTAAAGTTGAGGGTTAAGCAGCAGAGAAGAGTAATCTAGATCGATATGAGGTGAAACCAGTTCAACAGCGCACGTACCTTAGAGGAGACAAACCCACCAGTGGATGAATGGTGAAATATTATCATCTCTGCAAATTGTGTGAGTGTGCGTGCATGGGTGGGTGTGTGTGTGTATGCTGTGACGTGAATGCCAATGTTTCTTCTGCAGAGTAAGACCCTCTTCAGGAGCAATGGAAGATGTGATAGCGAGAGGAGGAAAGGGATGAATTGTTTGCGTGTATCCCATGCACCAGTGCCCTCACCGACTGACAGAGACAAACACTGGCACACACTCTGAGGAGCAGCGCAAGCCTTGTCCAACCTTATTTGCAGTAATGGTAATATCTCTCTTTCATTTACTGCCTCTCTTTTAAGAGGTAAAGGAGAGAGACACTAACTGCTTTCAGATCCCAATGTAAGCAGCCACACTCTTCAGCACTTTCCATCAAACAAATCATGTCTAAGTCCTTCAAGCTGAGAGTCCAGAGTCTTAGCTTAGTACATCACACAGACATGAAACCAGGCACAGCATTAATCTTTTGATCAAAAATGAGAAAGATAAAAAGAAAAAAATATATATAACAGGTTGATAAGTGAAGCTATTGGTAGTGGAGGCAGCGACTACACCTTTACAGAAAGTCTCTGTAGTTCTCCAAGGCTAACACCATGACAACTGGCTTTAACGTTGCATAATGCAGCAGCAAGAGCGATGCACTATAGCCGTGATGGTGACAGCAATATAAAGAATCAAAAACTTGTGTTTTATTTTCACAGTACACACAACATCACAAAGAGAAAATATGGGCTCCGTCAGACTTTGCGTTTGGGAAAAAGTTGCATAATTACATTCCTAAACAAGAAAAATCACTTCCAAAGGTAGAAAAGGAGAGGGAGTATTAAAACCTGTGATGTCTTTGGGTTGGAGCTTGTTCTTGTTTTTTTTTTTGTGGTAATGTATCATTTCTTCTTAACAGAAGGTCAAACTAAAACACCTCTTTGACAAGCCAAAGTAAACTGAGATTAGTAGCCAGCCACATGATGATGCAACAGCGATCTGCGGGTATTTATAGAAGAAAACGCTCTGCTTTGTTGGGAAAGTATCGATTGGTGGATTATCAGGATTCCTTATAAGTTAGCTGCCTTCATTTACACACCAACATTGTGTAGGAATTGGCTGAAGGTCGCTGAAAGAAGGCTCCTCCACTTAGCTTGTAAGATTCCAAAAAAAGACAAATTTAGACCCTTGGAAATATTTATGCTTCAGTGCAACCACCCAAAAAGACCCAAAAGAATGTTTACTCAGCAAATGTCAAATAAAGTAAGTGAGTTTTGTTGCTCCTTTACATGTGATGTTTAACACCCTCTGCAGAATACAGGAACTGTACCTTACAAGTCTGAGCAGACCAGTTAGGCTGCAAGCAAGTCCTGCTGCTGCTTTCTAATTCTGCTTGGTTCTCCATCTCCCTCTCTTGGGCTTAAAGGTCAGACATCCTCACCTCCTGACATGCAGAAGATATGTTCAGGTGTTTGACAGGTTCTCATCACTCCCAGCAGCATGGCTACGGATTGATGGGAATTGACCAGTGTAATCATTGTGAAAACTATTAAATATGTATTTACACGAGTTGTCTGAATGGACTAATTTTAGCAGATTTTTATTTTCAATATTAACTCAAGGTTAAAAACATATGGTAAAGACATTAAACATAATTATTATGTTTTTGTGCAGCAATGAGAACAACTATTGTTTTTTTCTGTTCTAAACAGAAACAATCACAATCACATATCTTTATTTATTTGGAATTTTGATTTAAATATCAAAATACTTTCATATTTTTATGCAGTAAGAATCTAAAAAAAAAAACAACCCATAGCTATACTCAACATCATTAACATTTGATTTGCTAGTTAATTTGCAATTATGATTGTCTCATGTCAGGAAAATATTTTATTGTGAGACTATTTCCGATTATAGTGACGGTGTTTGCATCAAAGCCAGCTGGAAAAAGTTCTCAGCATTGATGCACAGTATTTAAATCCAATCTGATGTCAAACCAGTTCTTTGAAACTGCAATTTTCCAAACGCTCTATTTGCAATGTAAATCATTTAGTCAGTACCGTTTTTTTACAATGTTATTGTGTGAAACCATCTGCCAAAGGAACCTAAAAGGCAACAATGCAAACAACAATAAAAAAAACAGGAAATTAATTTAAATGTTCTCAAAAATATGCTGTCTTTGCTTGCATGTGTTGCCATTTTATTGTTTCCCCACCTTGCAAAACTTCCACTTTGGGTTTGTGGCGGCTTTGCAAAGAAAAACAAACACCACATGTACAATATCTTAAGTAATAAAAAGCTCAGCGGCATTAATAATTGGCACTAGAAAGAATCATTTCAAGCAGCGGACCCTCAAGTTTTTGATGTCTTAGAGTAATAAACACAGAATGTCTCAAGTAAAAATTAAATCGACATTACAGTGAAGGCTTATTGATCTCTGCAAAAGGATGTTAATTTACAACCGATGGGAAATTAAACCCAAGTTGATGGCTTCGAAAATGTGACATAGATTTCTTATGGGCTCCTAAGAAGAAGAAAAGTGGAATGTCAAACTAAATCTACCAAAGTACGGTTGCTTTTTATGAGTTTCTGCATTTGGGAACTAGTCCCATTTCACTAATGTTACAAATTTATTTTGCAGAGGAGCAGTTACTCCAGTCATAAACCCGCCTAATGGATGTCAGCTGTAATGATTTGTAAGATTTCTCAATCTTGTGTGAGAGTCATCTACAAAAGCCAACAAGAAAACAGAAGGAGTTGCATTCAGGGATACTTTTATTAATCATTCCCTTATCTCAGGGACTCAGTAAAACAGATTGTCTTGATCTGAAAGCAGTCAGGCAATCAAAATCCTACAACAGAAGATCAGGAAGACCAGTGCTTTATGGGTGAATGAGAAAATGGGAAATAAAATTGCAGAGAGCAATTACTCAATTTACACCACTCTCTATAGTCAAATATTTTTGATTTCATCTTTGTGGCATGAAACTCAACAATCCAGGAAACTTTAATTTGCAAACTGGCAACCAAGCAATAAGCCAAAGATGTGACATTCATTCACAGAAATGATTTCATCAAACGTCTATAAAGTGTCCATGGACTTGAATAGCAGAGCACGGTGGTGACAGTTCCCTTAACAGACACCATTTATCCTAAAGAACATATAAAGCTGAATTTCTCAGTGTACATGAATGCGCCAAAGCAAAGAAAAGATTACAGTCAAAGTTACTGAGCTGTGCTTCGACCAATAGATAGACGGCTTTAAAACCAGCAGAACTGAACTGTATTTGTTCACAATTGTGCAGCTTTACATGTTTTACACGCGCAGTGGTGAATAAAACACTGAGCTCTGTACATCCATCTCCAACACTAGAGTTATTCTGACACAGAGGGCTAGCTGAAGACAAAGCTCTCTCACTGAGAGGCTGTTTGCCATCTTTTGTTTAGAAAAGATTATTCCTGTTTTAAATAACAGAAATAATCTCCTCTTTCTATTTTAGGTGTGATATCAGCTTAAAAACCCATCAAGAGTCGCTGGTGTAAAATTCATAATCTCTGAGGGCATACAGGGACTTGGATCTTCTGTGCATATAATAATCTTATAGTCAGGTATTACAGATAAGATTCATAGCTAAAGAAAACCAACAAGATAGCTAAAACAGCAAAAGGGTGCATTAGGGTGCCTAATTTTTTCATTGCAAAAATACTAAAATGAACACATGCAGACTTGGGTGTTTTTGCATTAATCAGCATCATCCTTTTATCTTGAAACAGTCCAGATTTTACATGTTGACTTTTCACCCCATCCTATTTCCAATTCACACTTCTCAACAAACCTTTTCACAGCCATTTGCTTGAATAAATGTTTATTCGCTTGGTGATTAAGTATTTTTTGCGAAATGGTGAGGATAAAGAGTCCTAAAAATGCTCATATCCATCCGTTCATTAATAGTCTTTACCCCATTATTCTTGAGCTCTTGTGCTTGGTGGGTAAGAGGCAGAGTCGACTGCAGGTCTCTGGTCTGGCACACAGTCACTCCCAAGGACAGCTTGGAGAAAACAGTAGACTTAAAATGTTTTTGGACGGTGGGAGGAAGCCGGAGTACCCGAAGAGAACCCACAAACACTCATGGAGAACATGCAAACTACATGCAGAATGAGCCCGGAACTTCCTGCTGACAGCCAACAGTGCAAATAACTAAAGATTTTATTCCTCATCCTATTCTCATTGATTGGAGTTCTGATCTCAGTTTGGGTTCTCTGACTATTACAAAATATGGGCTTATGTCGCCTGATCAAACCTCAATAACTCAGTGTTATTAAAGTATTTGTAGTGTGCTTAAATTTCTATACATAAGGATATTGAATTTGAATTTACGAAATGCCACATATGAAACATGTTACATATTTCACCAGAATGCTCTGCAAGAACTAAATTACATATTTTTACTCTTGCAGCTATGACAAACATTCTGGGCAGAAATTGTTCTTAAGGGGTGTCAAATACTGTGTGATTGGTCAGAAATTTGGAGTCGTTATTGACAAATGTTGCACTGAAGGACCTATGAGGGCTTTCTAAGAGTTCTGAATTAGAGAGCTGGAGAAATATAAAATATCTTCACCAGAAAGAACATTGCTCCAAAAATGATTTAATGTTGCTTTAAGAAAAATACTAACAAGATAGAGCAGCATGTCTAACAAAGAGACAACTTCAGATTTGCAATCTGAGCAGACAGCTTGACTAATTAATTATCTAATATAAACTACAGAGAGCAGGACAACCAAGAGGCATAATACTCTGACAATACACAGGCTTTTGCAAAAAGGTCCAGGTAATTTTAGGAGATGAATATTCTAATTTTATTCTGGTGCCTAAGACAATGAATGAAAAGACCAAACAACAACATGTTTTAAGTTACATTATTTAAAAAACAGTAAAAAATCCATTATTGTTGCTGAAGAATCAAAAGTCGTCCCTTCCGTCTTTTAAAAATATCTTTAGATTATGTTACATATTTATGGCGACCTGTCCAGGGTACATCCTGCCTGTGACCCGGAACGTTGGCTGGAGAGGAGCACCAGCGCCTCCCAACCCCACTAGGGACAATCATGGTAAAGAAAATGGATGGATGGATGGATGGTTACACATCTAAGTTGCTTTTGTTGTTTGCTTGTTAAAATACCCTAAAATCAGTTAAGGTTAACACAGTATTAAAATCTCATGTGGGCTCTTGCCATGCTTACAAGAGGCCATGTTGCCAGATGAATTACTCCGACTTGAAACTAGATGTTTCTTACAATCAGAATTTATTTTAGCCTTCCTGTTATCATCAATATTTATCAGGTCTGGCCCTTTGGACTACTAATAAGAAGAAAATGCTGGATATTGACTCACTCACAATTTAAAGATCAGATCAGAGACTTTCTGAAAGAGTCCAAACAAACATCTAGATAACAAAAGAGTTGGAAACCAGCTCTATAAATGTTACCATGCTGATCAATCAAGCCAAGAATCTCCATTAAAGAGTAGATAATGGAGTTTATTTGGTTTACATGCACTTCTCTGGGAGCTTAATTACCAGCTGGCATGTAAGATACTGTCCAGATGATGACAGGGTAACACACTTTGAAAGATGTATGCTCCTCCTGGACCTTGTGTGTTTACAGTGCATGCTCTCAGCTGTCTCCTTCACATGTGGATCCTGCATAGACAGGTCTGGGAAATGTAAAATTACTAAAACTCACTCCTGAAAAGTCTAGATTACTTACTACCGCAGTCATGCAGAGAGAGACACAAAGGGTCAATGGATGTTTTCATTACACAGACATGCAATTTAAACACACTGCGGGGAATATAGTGAGGTGTCACCCTGTCAGTTTCATATCCCTCAAGATAAAATACTTGTTCCAAATCGTTTCAAGAGAATAGTCCATATGTTGTTTGGAAAAAAGAAAATAAAGAAAGAAAAGGGGAGAAAACATGACAATAATGTGTCTAGAATTTGATCATGACAGGAAATTGTCAGAGTAACAATTAAAGTAGCACAATACACCAGAACCCCCCCGAATAAGACTATTTTCGTGTAGGATTTAGTGTCTCTTACCTCAATTCGTGTCCAGATTCCTCGAGAAAATCGATTTGTCCGTTTCCAGCTTGTCATAATCCAAGTGGACTTTAGCCGCTCACTCTCAAACAGCCACTAACTCAACAGCTCCTCCGCTCGGCTGCCGTCATCAGGTGGCCCGCCCTCTTTTCACTTTCTTCCTATTAACCTCTGAAGCCCTTTATTTTTTCCCTGCTCTCAACAATGAAATGTTAGGTTTTGATGGGAAACCTCGTGGGTCACTAGCCTACGTCCCGAAGTAATATTACGAGGTCCAGGAAGCGCAGCGAGTTGCGGTAAAAGTGATAAAGGTGGACGCAGCCTATCCCCGCTTGTGGTGAGACACTGACCCCTAGCGTTTACTTTGAGAAATACATGGATTAATGCATTTCATCTATGTCATTAAATTGACTGTATTTCAGACAGAGTTTATGTCAAACTCTAGAAGTAACAATCTAGTAGTAGTATTATTGTGCCATATTTTAGATTAAATGAGATTTACTTCAGTGACGGTTCTCGTATAATTGTCTTTGAATCCACGAGAGAGATACTAGTTTTGAGAAAGTAAAAAAAAAAAGTTTTTAAGATTAGTTTAGTAAAGAATTAAGAGATCACAAACTGTGTTTTAAAGTATATTCAGGCAGTGCGAAATATATGTTTGCTCATAGAAACATTACAGCTGCTAGTTATGAGTCAGAATTTTCAAACAGAGAACAAGTGGTCCTGGGGAATAGCCACACTCATCATTTCTGGCTCCCTAAGACTAAAGCAGACAGGAAAATAAATGCAAAGGTTTTAAAAGACAATTTTATTGTGAGTTTGCTGGCAACAAATTAAAGGTCAACTGCTTTTTCGGCGTTTGAGGGACTGATATGTGCTCAAAAGATATCTCCAAGTTCACTCTTGCTGTTTCAGGGACTGGTAGCTTTTGTGTGACTCATTCATCTAAAGCTGTTCGGATGAAAAACCCACCTGCGGCTCCTCATCTGCCCCATCCCTCGGGTAAAAATATGATCACATCTTTTTGATTGCCACAATAAGTAAGATTAATGTAAAGGCTGTAATCTAACAGCCAGGAGGATAAACGTGGCTGTTAGATATATAATATTTCTTTGAAGATAAATAACTGAATAAGATAAATGAATAAATGTGACTGCGAGGGAAACTAGTGCCATAATTCTCCCAGCAATAAACAAGTCAGACACTTGCTTGTGTGCTTGTAAACCCTGCTGGTCCTCCGTTCCCTCGTGAAGTCCTGAAGTGATCCCCGTTGCTTTGCCTCAGAGTCCAACAAAAACTCTGATCATTAGAGCTCACAAGGGCAGCTGCCTTGAAGCATACTGTTTCTTCTCTCACACATACAGAATTTTTAATCCATTCTGAACGTATACATTAATAATGAATAGAGTTTGTAGCATTCCCTGGGCAAGCAGCGAGCATGTTTTTCAGTTCAGAAAGGGATTTGTGTAGGTCTTGGCTTATGTCTCTGACGTCCAGCTCCGTTGACCAGTGGAGCAGACCCAAATGGGACCCCACTGAGAGAGTTAGCTGAAGCTCACGACGAAGAAACGAGCAACACCGTTGCTGGCTACCAGGGCAACAGCTACCATCAAAGAAGTAATGCTGAGCAGGTTTACATACAACAAATATGCAGTATTAGTTACATGGCAGGGTGCAGCGCTTTTTTATTTTACTGAGTGCACACACACACACACACACATACACACACACACACACACACACACACACACACACACACACACACACACACACACACACACACACACAAAGAAATGTGTTCAGGTATTGACCTTCAAAGTACTGTCACCTCAGCAACATGGCTTCTGTGTTTAGTGCGCATGGCTCTCCTTTTAGATTTTGCAGTATGCTTCAGCAAACTTTGTTTACATTCTTTCAAAAATGAAAGAATGTAAATAAAGTTAGTCATTAGTCGTTTACTAATGACTAAGATGATCTTAGAAGCCTAAATGTTTAGAATATGTCCTCTAGTATCGGCACCGACAGTCCCACGCTGGCACCCGCTTAGAGCAGACATAGAAAATTAACATTCAAAGACCCAGTTTGTCATTTTGTTTGAGCTGAATAAAGCTCTGAGGACTATTAGGTGTTTTTGCACCAAATATTATTTTTGTAAGATTATTGTTTATTTGGACCATATCAGTGTTTCAAAGTTAACAGAGAGTTGCTAAGATGAAAACTTCTTCAGTTTTGATCAAAAGTTCATAGTGGACAGGGATATCATGTTAATATGGGCACTCAATTCATTTAGCAAGTGGCCAGATTTTCTTTGCATAAAATAATATAAATTAAATAAAAATAATATAAATGGCAGCACTTATTGGACAGACCAATGCGTTAAACAATGGGAAACTCAGAAGAACACCTTAGCAGTATAACTGAAGATTGTTTTGGTCCCTTTTACAGTGGCAAATTGTTAAATCACCTCCTCAGTCAAGTTAATGCAAAGGTATACATTAGTATTATGTCCAATAAAAAAAAATTAAATAAAAAAAAAAAGAAAAACTTCAGCCCATACAAACATATAAAAGCTTAGCTATATTTACTCTTTTAGTGTAACTCCGTTAAAAATCTGCAAGCAATACCAATACCAGAGTTTGTGGCAGGGAAATTGTGAATTTATTTAAATTAGATTTCTGGTCAAGTGGCCAAATACCCAGCTAGATTTGTTGATTAATTAGAGTCCATTCAGTTTAGTTTTGAAGTAAAGCAGAAATGTCCCTTTGAATGTTAAAAGTTTGGAGATTTCTGACTTTGACGTATTGAAAAAGAAACTCGACGTATTTTCCAGCAGAGGGCAACATTTACATCAGTCCTCATTTGCACAAACATACAGTCCATCAGGAAAGTATGCACAGCACTTCACTTTTTCCACCTCTTATGTTAGTCTTATTTCCAAATGGATTAATTTCTTTCCACTAACTTCTCCGCACAAATACCTCTATGACAATGTGGAAAAAGCTTGACTTTTTTTTCCCTGATTCCCCCTTATTCAGCATTTGCAGCCTTAAGTCGGTTCGAATTCGATGCCACTAGCTCAGCTTGTCTATCTTAAGGTAGTTTCCCCCATTCTTCTTCAGGTTGGAAGGGAAATATCTGTGCAGATATTTTTAAATCTCCTCAAAAATGTTCACTCCTATTCAAGTCTGGATTCTGACATGGCTGCTGTAGGACAGTCGCAGAGTCGCTCTGAAGCCTCTCCTTTGAGATCTTGGCCATCTACTTTGGGTCATTGTTCTGCTGACAAATGAACTTCTGCGCCAGTCTGAGATCAAGAGGAATTGTTAGTCACTTTCTTCAACTGGAAAACATTCCTAAAGCATGATGGCGCCACCTCGATGTGGCTTTTGTTGAGACTTTCGTCCTGATTCTACCAGGCAGGTCAGATGGGCGGATTGACAAAAAGCTGGTTTTCCTCTTTGGAGGAAGCTCACTGAGCTCATTAGGACCTTCAAAGCTGCAGATTTTTTTTTTGTCTGCATCTTTTTCCAGATTTGTGCCTCAAACACTCCTGCTTCTAAAGTCTGCTGACAATTCATTTGATTTCATGCTTGGTGTTTAACCTCTGACCTGAAGTCAATTGTGGGAATTTATAGACAAATGCCTTTCCAAGTGTAGTTCAATCAGGTGAGGTTGCCACTGGTGGACTCCACTTCAGCTGTAGAAACATCCCAAAAATTAGGAAAGAGATCCATTTCGAGCTCCATGGTAAAGGCTGGAAATACTTAGGAAAATGTGATTTCTTGGTTTTATATTTTTAATACGTTTGCAAGAACCTCAAGCTTTTTTTTCCACATTGTCATAATGAAGTATTTATATGTAGACGTTTGAGAAAAGAATAACACAACTTACAATGAATGTGAAAGAGTTGTGAATACTTCCCAGATTCACTGTATTTAACCATTTTGTACTCAAAATAAAAGTAAAGCACACAAACAAGTAAATTGGAAGACAAATGATAACTATTTATTGCTTATGACAAATAACCATTAGACGCCATTAGTACAAAGTATTTTATTGTAAATGTTTAAAATACTACAATAGTGTTGCATTTGTGATGAAAAGGCTAAGGAAAACAGTAACAAAAATAAATACATTTGCACCAACAGATATGTAATGAGCTACCTTTGTGGATCTTACTGGTTACATTATTTTTAAGATTTTATTTTAAGCTATGGCCTGTTTGACTCACATTCTAACCTGATGCATGTTTTATCACAGTGATTGCAACATCTTAAGGCTTAAAATATAAACCTTATCATCCTGCAGTACTATAGTATAATGGAATGGCTGCAATAAAAATATATTTTTAGTAAAAAAAACCCCAACAAAGTCTTAAGTTTGAAAATCACATCAGTTTTCACAATAACTACAGTTCCTATAGCTGGATTTTTACTGGTTTTATGTGATGAAAATAGAAAAAGATACATGTATGGCTGCTCAACCAGGTGTCAGTGCAGAAAAGCTGACTGGGCCACAAGGCGTCATGGACCACAAGACAAATTGCAAGGAAGCAATCAAAGCTCATCATCTCTTCCTCCTCTGGTCATTTCACTCTCTGAGTTTATCCAAAACCACAGAGGTGCAGCTGATATTTCAAGGCAGATTCTACAGAAGGAAAACTGCTTTAGAAACAGAATCTATCGATTACCATCTTCAGCTGCTTTTTTAAAACCAAAACGTGTTAGAAAAACAACAAGCATACAGGGAAATATTTTATAAGACTTTCAGAGAATTGTTTCAGGACAAAAACAGAATTGTCGCTGAAATTTGGGATTCTGTCAATGTAAATACAGTTTTGGATAATAACAGAAACACCCCAACACAAAAAACAGAAATGTTCTTTCTTAATTATGTCCAGGAAAGAATAAGTGAGATAAAATCCCTCTGTTGGAGATAAAACAAAGTGCCAGAAACAGTTGATCCTTCATATTGGTTGGTCTATTCTTGTTTCTTCATTTCCCTTCCCTCAGTCTTTTAAAGCCTTGGTGTGGAGGTGAACATTTTCCACAGTGTCTGCCGGTGTGGAGCTCTGCTGAGATCCACAGGTTTCAAGCCAGGGTTCTTTGTCTTGGTTTGATTCTGGGATAGAGCTGTTT